CAACTTGTGTTTACAAAATGCGTTGCCTTAGGTAGAACAAAAGTAATGCAATCATTTATGTTGAAATTATGCGTTGAATTTAACGGTTCTCTTGTATGTATACAAGTCATAGACAATTGATGGGAAAATGCTTATTGGTGATTCGTTTTGTATCTTAACTAGAAACTGAAATACAATAAACTGTACAATAAATAATTATGTTAGTAATGCATAAGATATAAACATCTGAGGATTGTTTCGGCGGTATTGTTTTTTCAAACAATGAAAATAACCGTAAATGTCATGTAGCACACACCAAATAACAAGAAAACATCCACAACAACAACAAAAAAATCACGCAGCACGCACATACACACACCCACCAACAATAATTCAACAACTCTATCTTTTTTGTAATACTGTATAGAAACTAGAAATGTTAATTCCGGTAATAATGCGCGGATTCCCTGCCATGTAAAACATTTAGGAGTGTGAAATTACATATAATATACATTTGTGAATTGCTTTCCCCCATTTTCCTTTACTGTAAAACATGCATATAACCAGGTACTCCTTAAATTGTATAAGATATATAAGATATACACTGTATATTAAGATAAATTAATATAACATGTATGCCATATTAAACTGAAATGCAATCCATTAAAGGACAGATGTTAATTTTGGTCTGCAGAACATCTCAGATATGTGTGTTGAGACTTGATACGCTGATTTCTGACGCAGTAACAATGTATAGCGTTATTCGACTTTCCCGCGGTCTTCATCGCAGTGTTGTCACGTATATTGGCTCGTTTGATATCTGGCATTTGTTGATGATCGGAAACTGCTTAAGCCGATCCTTAAGGGCATGGAAACTGTTGTATTTGTGCGGTTTTGTTTCTAACACAAACAGACACAACAGAATTATGTCTATTAGATTATGTTTTATTGCCGTTAAGGGATCTTCCCATGCCAGAGCTTTTATAAAAAAAAACAAGCATAATAAAAATAGATCAAAATTCATTTGTCACGCGGAGGCATCAAATAAATATGAGAGAAAAGTTAGCACAGAAGTGAAAAGTTAAATAATGCAGGCCCCAACAACACCAGCAACAACAACAATAATAACAACAACAACGAAAAACCAACAATAACTTACAAAGAGGCACCAGAAAGGACAGCGCAAATATAAAGTTTAAGGGACTGAGGGGGTGGTGGGAGGGAGGGACACTTAACTGCGGAGGAAATATCTTCAACGAGTTTTACAAAATACCCTTACATATCGTAAAAGTATTACCAAAGCCATTTTATTATTGCATCAAGTTTTAATACACTTTAATACATATGGACCCATTATTACCATTATATTACGTTCCTTATTTTAAAATAGGCCCCTCTCGGATCATTAAATCAAGATAATAAACTGATTTACTTCATTTCAGGCACTATGATTTTAAACTGTAATTAGCAGCGATTCTGATAATTGAATAGTTTTTAAATAAAATTGAATAGTTTTTAAATAACTGTCTTTTTTTCCACGATCGTTTTACTCTACAACTTCTCTTAATGTACTAATATAAACAGCAGTTTATTGGAGTAAAATGCAAACAAATACAAATACTTTCAAAATAACAATTATAAATTCGCAATTACATTAACGGTGCTTAACTGTAATTTGTTTGTGGCCTTACCAGAAAGCATCTTAAAAGCTATTAAGGTGTGATATTTAGATTAAATGTGCTCTTCAAGCGTTTAAAACAAGACTATTAATACAAAAGTCGGCTATTCATCATGTTTAACAGTATATGAAAGATAATAAGGTGTTTTTTGTTGTTTTTTCTTAGAAATGATATTGCGTATTGACCTTGTGCCCTTTCGTTGTTCCAAATTTGGACTATTATTGGTTACGCTGTATAATGCCTTGTTCAACATTATGTCAGAATGACGTTTATGACTTTGCCATATTGCCAACAACATTTATTGTTTTTGATATTATTTTAGACATATATTGCCTGGCAATTAGAATTGTTTGGCATCAATAACAGCCTGAAATGTTGCCATAACAGTATATACAGTATATGGCATTGTCATGTCGGCCCAACCTAAATGTTTGGTTTCTTCTTAGACATAGCAAATTAGATATATCGTATATTGTAAAATTAAATACAATTATGATTCAGAACATTCGCTTTGTTTAAAATTAAAATATTAGGAAATAATCAACGGGTAATACAGAAAGAAGGAAAAAAATTATTTAAAGTGACATTATGCTTATATTTTCATTGTAAAGTTGAGCTTAATTGACTTTATATTTCAAAAGATTGACTGTTTAAATGATGTTTGACCAACAGTTTATATTGGAAAATGTTTTGGATAAAATTTAAAATTTGCCTAAAATATAAAAAGACTGCCCCACTCTTTTTATACACTGAATGTAAAAGGTAAATTCTAAATGATATTTACAGAAATTTCGTTTGGATCTGGGGGTTATTTATTGTTTATGTGACGTAAATGATTAGATTAAAAAGAATTATGGCAAAATGAAAATTTATTTTTATTCTAACCTGTTCACTCACTATATACCTTTAGATGGGCATAATGTCACTTTAAGTGTCAATGATTTTTATTTACTAGGCTGAGCGTTTGTTTGTTATAAAACATGTGTTAACATCATTATGACAATCGATTTTAAATCAGATATGTTCGACCAAGATAAAGAACTCAAATATATAAGTGGTGACATGGCCGAGTTCTTAACGCGTCGGACGGCCTTGACATTTAGGAACCGCTATCTGTGTTGGTTTAAAACCAACAATTGAGCCGTGTGACGCATCCGCGCAGTCTGATCAGGATCCATGCTGTTCGCTATCAGTTTCTCTACTTGTTATAGGGTCTGTACGAACAGCATGGATCCTGATAAGACTGTGCGGACGCGCAGGCTGGTCTGGATCCATGCTGGTCGCAAACTCATTAATATGTTGGTTTTGTCATGACAGGCTCAATTGTTTTTTGGTACTATAACGGAAAACGTCGCAACGTTTAATAATTAGTACTGGTCGGTATCAGGAACGGATTCTAGATACTGTTTGTTGGTTTATAGCTTCCATAGTTACGAACTGAAATGAATGGTTTAATCTAAATTAAAAACTTGCACTCCATTACAAATTTGTAATTTCTTTACACTATCTTGACAGAGGGTTTCAAATAAAACATTAAAGTTGATTAACTTTGTCTCTAATGGGACATGTGGTTGACTTTTTTCTTTTTTTAAAAAACATTAGTAATGTATTACGTATGTTTAATTGTTTTACAGGTAAAATAAAAAAGAGTCATTGCTAAAACTTTAATTAAAGTAGATTTTATTTTCAATATAACGCAGCTGAAGTGGCATTAGATACAAAAACAATGATATCGCTAAATTTCAAAATGGTAGTTTAAGATATTGTTATCATAATTTTATTTTTTCTAATATTACCTTTATTTTCTATACATTTACGAAAATGTTTTTCCGAGATATCAAATAGTTATTATACTCGTAAACTGGGATTGTATTCTTTAATTTATAAAAAAATTCTTAAGTAACTATGATTGTAGGTATTATGTTATTTATGATATACGCCAGACGTTTGAAAAAAAAAATCAAGTAACTTAATAATACCGTTGCATTATATCAAATTATCACACACCCGTGCCGATTTTGCGACTCCGTAAAATTAAATATGGTATTGCACGGCCGTTCATATATTTTGACGTGACGTCATTAGCGTTAACAAACACAGTGTAAAGATGCGCTAAATGTTAGCGTTATACTATAGGCGCGTCAATGAAAATGACTCTTATTTCACTTTAAACGGTCTTTATTTTGGGTATGTGATAAATAGAATATTAAATTCGTGTAAGTTCATAACTGAATTTATTGCACGCGTTGAATAAAATAATATTATGCTCGCCTCTCTGGCGAGCATGATATTATTTTATTCAACGAGTGCAATAAATTCAGTATTTAACTTACACTCATTCAATATCCTCTATATAATGCGAACAACAGTTTTTGACAATATTTAGTGAAACGAGATTGACGTTAAAATATTTCATTGATATTTACAATATACACTTTAAAGGTCATGGATGGATGGATGGATCGATCGTTCGACCGACCGACCGACACACAGACAGACAGACAGATATTGTAATATTGTTACGTGAATTATTTAACAAGACACTTTGTTCCTTATTTAAGACTATTGGATTTTTTTTGTTGTAGGTATAAGATATGCGAAGAGCTAAATATCATTAAATTTTAGAATAAATGTTTTAGCATATTAACATTTGTTGGGAATGTTGAATTAATACGCCTATCTATAGTGTTAATATAACTACAGAGAAATGTAAATAATTCATGAGTATGTATTATTCCCTGCCATACTGAGCAATTTGTTATTTAATTCAGCAGAAAAAGAGAAACATGTCAAATATGGAACACCGATAAAATCCAACATTTAAAGGCATAGATCATGTGTAACAAAAAATAAACTTGAACAAAAATAACTAAAAATAAATAGCAAATACACGGCAACAATAAATAATAGTAAAAATCTATGATAAAGTTAAACAAACAAATCATAGAAAAGCATATTAAAAAATAAATAAATTAATAAATAAATAAATAAATAATAATCAAATAAATAAATAAATACATAAATGTAAACAAGCAAATAAATAACAAGAAAAAAAGATAAATTATTAATAATAATAATAATCATAAGAATGACAATAATAATAATAAAATAAAAAAGAATAAAAAAGAATCAAACAAAAAACAAAACAAAAACCAAATTGACCCCTGCATTTAAAAACAATATCAGAATAAAATACATGTAAAATAAAATAATACAAAAAATATGCACTGAGTAAATGATACATTTTATTGAAGAGAACATAAGAACATCTCACAAACATAAATAAGAAATACACTGATATACACTAAAATACCACGCGCTTTGAACAATGCGGATAAATCAGACAGACAGTACTTTTTTCTTTAATATTACATCCATGGATTTTCAATACTTTCTAGCGTGTACCGAGGCGAGAACTCTACAAGTGCGAAACTTTATGGATAAAGCTGATTTTCCTACTGTATCGATCGATAATGCCAGACCCATAAGCATTCATTGGAAGAAAAATAACTTTGCAAAAGCTATTGTTTAGCCTATTTATCTTGTACATTATGATCTTGAAATTGGATATTAATTATATTGCTCACAATAATAATTAATCAGCGTAAAGGAGGTTTATTAATTGAATGTCCATTTTTGTGGAAATGTGAGAGATTTAATGCGGTGTTAAAGAGACAGCAGCGTGATATGAGGTTGAGTGTCGCGTTAAGAATGGTTCCAACACACCGAGACTTGTATGAGATAATATATCAAAGGATATTCGCGTGGGATGTGTACAAATACTAAGCCTCTTTGAGGTTTTGTGATTCAAATATTAAACAAATTGTGTAATTGATTTAGCTTCAAAAAGATCGCGTTCATGTTTGATTAAAAAAACAACGTCGAATGCGTGCCAATCAATCGTGATTAAGTAAATGCTTTTTGGAAACTGTTTGCTTTCTTTGAAATATAAACAAGGATAACAGATGGGTATCGTTGAAACAACTAAACAGGTACCGATATTTTGATTGTCCTTAATAATTTCATTTCTTCTCTTTTATATGCATGGAACGGTATGTCAACAGACTTGAAATCAGGCAATGAAGTATAATTATGTTTTAATTGATTACTAATCAATAGTTCATACCATAGATTAGAAATGTATATGCTGACACTATATCAGATATCTCAACAGTATTTCGGTATTTATTAAACATTGATTGTGAAAACGAAATAGGAACCGCGGCAGATGTTGCTTTAATCCATACTTAGATAAAAAGAATTAGTTCATCTATACTAAAACAAACAATGATCTCTGGAGTGGGTTGAACAGGAGGGATTACGGTTTTTTGTTGAGATAGAATTATTTATTTGTGTAATAGTGAAAGGTTATCTTTTCTCGCGTACATCAAAATATTTTGCTTTCTCTTATTTTTTTTATTCTGTAAGGATTGTTTTATCTCTCAAACAAATCATGAAGTATGCAAATGAAAATGAATGTTTGCCAACAGATGAGCAAAACAGTTTACAGCTGTGATAAAGACACTGAAAAAGTTAATATAAACCGAACTATGACTGTTATATAAAATTCGGGATCTGGCGATAAATAATTGGCTGTGAGAGACTTAGGAAGAAGAATTATTCATGAAGTCAAAAAGTGCTTAAGAAAGGAATGAGGGCTTTGGCGCAGTTTGGCGTTCTGGTAGTTTGGAGCAGTCTAGCTGTTCTTGCACACTGTCGCCCAATCAACGTTGGTGAGTCTTTTTTATCTTATAGTTAATACTTCATTAGTACATTCCTTTTATTCATGCAATATATCCTTTCATATTGTCTGATTTAATATTTCATTGCGTTTGATTATTTGTCGATCGTTTCAGATTATTGATTAAAAAAACTCAGCATGTGTCTAAATAATTCGGCAATAACAATAATGCGTTCATGTTTCGCTACCAAACATGTCATTAAATTACAGAAACCATAGTTAATGAAAGTATATATTTCACTTATTCACATTTGTTTTAAATAGAATGAAAGCTATGCATAAATTATATGTGTGTGTTTGCTATCGTTTGTTGTCGACCAAAGATGATTATCGATTTCTTTCAAGACATTATTCAACTCATTTACTTCTATACATTGTTGAAATGGAAGACGATGGCAATCATTTATATATGTTTTTTTATTATGTTGTTGTCTCCCAACGCTCATCTCTATTTTCATTTTGTTTTATTTTTCATTTATCTTTTCATTTGTTTTATTTGTTTATTTTTGATTATGTTACAGAATAAATAGTACCCAAACATAATCTTAGACACAAAAGAATCGAGTAGAAAGCTAAACAACCTTTAACAGTAATCCCTTTCTACTTAACCTTAGATTCCGATTACTGTTTTTGTTTTAAGTTTGGTTCTGATACTCACTTCACTATAATCAATGCTTTTGTATATTGTTGTCAGACATTGCTAAATATCTATATGTAGTAATATATAAAATGAATGGGTAACCTTGAACAACAGAACAGGTACTGGTAATTTGATTGTCGTTAATAAGATTTATGTGAATTATAAAAAAAAGGAGTGGGAGTCAAAAGATTGATTGACACCCTATACCTCGTATAACGCGATATGCAAACTTGCTAAATGCTTTTTCTAAATGATTATTTTTTTATTACTAATATTTGCCTATAAACTTAGTCCAATGAAAACTCACAAGGATAATGGAAAGTATTTGAAACAGGAAGACAACTTGAGATATTAAAACATAAGGCTTATGTGGCATTTCATATTTGTTATTCATTTATACATATAACTTCTAATTTGACTCTGCATATTTAAGAGATAATGCTCAAATATATTATTATAGTATAAGGTCTGTCTAAAAAATCCGACTTCTTAAAAAATGTTAGCCCAATACATGAATTAAGCTAGGAATAAAATATTATAAAAAGTATTATTACTTTTAAGTTTCATTAGATAAGATTAAGACCAGATAAAAGTATCATTCATTTATCAAGAATTAGTCGTAACATCTTTAATTAAAGAATCCCTTTCACCGTTAACGTCAATTTCACACAATACAAAATATGACATGCCTGTGTATTTTGTAGTCATCAACGTTATTCTATCAAAATTGTTTCATTACTCGTATAAAACAAAGCAACCTTAAAGAAGTTTAAATCACTTTCAAATTGATATTCACATCTTTACACATACACAATTACTTGTTGGTATTAAAGTTAACTCAGAAATTACCCACGTGCGTAAAAATCCATATTTAAACAATATATGTATTCACAGTTTGGCAAACCACAATGATATATATAAAGTACCATTTGCTTTTTGAAATAAAATGCATAATAGAGACAGAATTACAATAGAAATAATTGAGTTGCATGTACATTATACATATCGAATCTTCCTACTTGCTGGAAACTCAGTATTTGATTTATCGCCGAAATGTTATTCTAGCAAATTCTTTCGCTGTCAAGTTGAGTTGAATTAGTAATATATTTCAAAAGAATGACAATTATAATTGTGATTGACCAACAATTGATAATTTTAAAACGACATAACTTATAAAGACTGCCCCACACATTTTCTTTTAAGAATTGGACCTAACAGATTCACTCTGGACAACATTTATAGGAATCACCGTTTATCGCATGGATTATTGATTATTTTGTTCTTATTAAAACACAATTATGGGAAAATATCAAGTTATTAAGAGTTAAATGTTCACTGATCTTTAACACTTGGATGGGCATGATGTCCAGACAGTTTACAGCGTTGTTTTTTTTTAATGTTCAATTAAAATCATGTTTAATTCGATCTTTTTTTGACTAAAAGGTCATTTATTAACATTCTTCATCGAAAGGATCATTAAGTCCTGTTTGTTTTACGTACTTTTACCTTGTGTTGTTGCTTTGAGAAAAGAGTTGGAGCGTCCGTGGCCATGTAGTTAAAGTAGTTAAAGTGTGCACCTAATCAACGACTGACAAAACATCAGACAGTTAAAAAGAACAGCCAAAACTACATATATTTATATTATTTCATTAATTCAATGACCAATTGATAACATTCAGGATCATCATAAATGACAGTTCTTTAACTGATATGACTATAATTACACAATTAAAACATGCATTACGTACTCCTTTTATGTATTTAGGAATGTGTCTTTTCAATGCATTATATTATGCCTGTCAAAACATATTATTTTCAACTTTTCAAAATAATGGTTATGGTCGATTAAAATACTCATAATAACATGCACAGTGAATTTTACATCCACATTTCAGTTATACATTGTCAGGAAATATGAACTGATATGGTGGCTGATCTGAATTTGGGTCATTTCCCTGTGCTACGTGTGCCTATAAAAGTTATCTTAACTATAAAAACACTGCAATTTTATTGTTAAGAAGATGTGCTGTCAAACACTCACTAATTACTAATTAGTTATAACAAACATTGAAACTCATGTGCACTTAAATCTTAATGATTCACTGCAAAATTTATAGTGAATACCGATTGATTTAAAGATAGTTTTTAGCTTTGATCATAATATGATTTCAATTGAAACAGACTATTCCAAAATTGATTTTCTTCATTTCGTTTCAGGTGCATTGATTTGTAGCTTGAAATAATTATAACATTGTATTGTGGTCTACTTTGACAAAAATTACGTCCTTTATACACGTTGTGCTGACTTCCTGCAGCTTTCAGGAATGCCAAAAGCAAAGCTGATGGTTTTAATGCGATTTAACTGTTATACCATTAGAACAGAGGCTAGCTTTAAATGTCATAATACCTGACATATGAATGTAATATTAGCGTGGTTATGTGAATATACTTTCTTCTTTGAATTTCACATTTTTCAATCTCATATTGACTTGCAATACAGTGACTGTTATTAGTGTAAATTGAATATCAGCAGACAGTTTTTTTAAGGTTACTATACATAACTATGCATTTAAAAATAATTTCATTGTAACGCTACCAAATCGAAATTTATAAAGCTATCGGACATTAAAAATATATAGCACATTAAAATAGTACAAATTGAAAGCATACCTTATTCTTAAAGTTTGTAAATCTATCTAAATTGAATATGTGTCAACAGTCGCTTTTATGAGATTTTAATTAAAATTCGATTTTTGTTTCAACGCTATTGATTTACAAAAGACAATGCGTTAATGAATAAAAAAAAACAGTTTACTTTTAAAAAGAGAAGAAAAAAGTAAATATTAAATTTGATTTTTTTTCAATTTATAAACACCCATAATGACTCGGTCTTTTAATAAAGAAATATTTAGTTATTTTATGACACTAATGAGGCACCCCTGAGTTTGTTTGTTTTTTATTTCACACTTTGGTACCGTTCGATGTAGCTCTATACTAATAACTTGTGTGCAAAATTGCAGGTCATTCGTTCAATTATTTTTTTCCTAAAATTATTATTTTAATCGTGTAAATTGAACTTAGAATGAAGGACGTTTAAAAAATCGTCAATTTAATTTGAGTATCTTTATTTTCTTTCGTATATGTTACGTTTTAATTTTCCTATCTGATCTAAGTAAGAATTTCAAATTTTATATATGTAAGCCCATTGAACCTTAGTGGTTATGAATTAAGACAATGAAAAAATGCATCTTTAGTTATAATTGTGAAAGTGATTTATAAGAAAATAAGCTTGCATTTAATATAATTCAGTAAACATGAAACAGGTTTCTCCAGCTAAGAAACATCCTTTTTGTTGTCCAGACAGATTTACAGTGTAAACAAGAGGTGCAACAAACATGATACATTAAAGCAGACGATTATTGCAGACAGAAGTACAATAACTTGCTCATTAGTGCACAAATCTATTGAACACGTGTTTGTATCTCACCACTCCATTAAAAAGGTGTCTGTGCCTTACAAATTCGGAAAACTTATTTGAAATTCTAATAAACTATGCTTCAGACAGGAATACGGTTTCCTTCCCACAAATCAACAGACGCTGATAACAATACAGAGACATTATGCATTGATCCAGGTATCAGTTAAACATGATTATTTTCAAACCGTATGTAAAACCGTATATATCATTTTGTATCAAATGTGTTGTAAAGCCACAAGTTGTGTTTTTCTGAATGAGTTTTTGATCGAAGAAGTCTCAAAAGTGACAGACTGAACATTTGATTTTGTAACCAGATTCTAGTTTGAATATTTATATTGGTATAGGATGAAAGCTTAAATATGTATTTTCTAATTTGATAAAACTCAAATTTCGTGGGTTTTTTTATCAGATGACAGCTTGAATATTTTATCTGTAATGAGATTAAAGCTTGGGTATTTGGTTTCCAATGAGATTAAAGCTTAAATATTTGATTTCAAATGAGAATAAAGCTTCGAAATCTTATCTCAAATGAATAACAATGCAAATACATGTTCCAAAATAACCTGACTAAAGACACCAGGCTTTTGCCTAAACTTGCTTTATCTCAAGTTGAAAGCACAATGAGGATTGATAAAACATCAGTCACAGTCGGTATGCATTAATATATCGTTCAAGATTAACCGAGATAAAAAAAATGTATTCAGTAGCTTAATTGTTGATAATGGAAACTAATGCTTTTGAAGATATTATGAAATAAGCATTAGCGTTGTTATTTAAAATAATTAACACATTGTACAATTAATGGCCTACAAAGTAACATGAAAAGGGTAATTAAAATGTAAACAAATCTGGCTAATAAGTTTGAAAACGACAA